AAATATCAGCAAACAACCTTAATGATAAAAAATACAATAATGGCAAATTTAATCAAAAGCACCTTCAAGAGAGCATGTTGCAATAAAAATAATTATGGAAAGCCCAAGCCAATCCAGTGTGACAACACTCAGCCACTTATTTATCTTAATCTGTAGTTTGTGGTTTTGAGGTTTGCTCATATGTTCTGAACTTTAATGGTGATAAAAGGTTACAGAATTAACCAGAAAGATTTTTCAAATTTATTTGTTTCATGAAAATGGATTCATCAAGAATTCATATCAACTCCATTAGAAGGAGAAGTTTCCAGTATTTACATTATAGTTAACTCGGTCCTTTATATGAGCAATTTGTACAAAAATACAGTTGAACCTCCGCTAATGGCCACATCTCTTACAACAGCCACCTCTTTACATGCAATGGCTACTTTCTTCTGTCCCCAAGGTGGTCGTTGTAGAGAGATTCAACTGTATTCAGTTATCAAATTATCTGTGGTGCTCTGCATTATTATACAGTGAAACCTCTATTAAGTGGACCCCCAATTTAGCAGACACCCTCTTTTAAGCAGACACTAAGCCGGATCCCAAAATTAACGTCTTATATTTCCCTTTATAATGAACCCCTATTCAGTGGACACCTCTATTAAGCGGACTTGGACACTAAATTAAATTGTACTTGGCTAATTTCTATTGTTAACAACCTCTATTAAGCGGACAGCGGACTGAATTAACAATACTAGTATTGGATTATGTCCTTGAAATACGAACTGTAGTCAATTAATAAGGATAAATCAATAAATTTAACTGTCAATAAACTGTAGATTAGACTGATATTCGGCCGTATGATTGTCATCTGCCATCAACGTTGACCTAAAAGTTCTTTGGAACTTTATCACAAACATTGCATAATTTTTACAAACTCTGTTAAACCGACACCCTCTATTAAGCAGACACTTGGCAAGGTCCCGAAGGTGTCGGCTTAATAGAGGTTTCACTGTATTACATTAATTTGCTTTTGAGGACTGAACATTCTGCCTTCAGTGCTGACTTACCTCCACTTCTTTGCATTGCAATCTAAATTGCTCCTGAGGAAAAAGTGAGCTAGTGTCAAGGTTTTATAAATTTAAAGGCAAATTTAAAGGCTGTATATAGTTTACTAGATTCTCTTGTATTAGCGATAAACATTTTAACTGAGTGTTGCATATTTTAATAATTTCAGAGGGAAAAGTCAATGTAACACTTTATCTGTGGCCCACAAAAAAAGATGAACTGAAGAAATGGAGCCCATATTTTTATGACTTTAGGAAAGGTACAAATTAATTAAGCGTTAATTCTCCATTGGGAAAATTGCAATAAAACATACTAGTCCAATGGCCGGTAGCTCATTTAGCTCCAGGCTCTTGAACAGCACCTTAATTTATTGCACCCAGAGACTTTACAATACACACACCTTGCATTTGACCTATTCCTTTGACACTATCTGACAAAGAGCAATTTAACTACACCTTAGGAAAAGTTCATACCCTTGTAGCCAAGCAAAAATAATACTTCCTACCATACCAGTGCCACCTAAATATAAAACAAAACAATACATTCATAAGGCAAAGGAAACTAATTTTAAAATACTTTTTGTGCAAGTAATAGGTTGGAAGTTTATGAATACTGTTGGTATTTTATATATTAATTTTAAAGCTGAATTTCATTAAGACTTTTATTGGTCACCAGCACCTCAATACTAAGTAAGACATTATATCATATGTAATGAACTAAGTTTCTAAAATCTCACTTTCTAAATGTGGCTACATGTAATTTAGGCAAAGTTAACCTCGAAGAAATGCTGGTCAGCAGTTTCCCCAGCTATACTAGGGGTGGCCCAATGCCTCTAGCAGGGGCGACTCGTGACTTATATACTCAGTTGTTTGCTAGCAATTCTTCGCAAAGTGTTGTTGCAATAGCTGATAAAAACTCACTTCTCAGGATCCATGTCATAGTTGCTGCCAGGGCAGTGGCTTTCTCATCTCCAACACCATACCCTTTCAACATGGCCTGGGTTGCAAGGGTTCCAGTTATTGACGAACAGAATGCCTGGATAGAGTGATAGATAACAATGACTACCTTCATTTAATGCTGATCAATGGACAGTAATCATGGGAGGGTGCCTAGTGATAAGAAGGCAGGAGGGGTGGGTGGATACACTTGTGGCTACATGCCATTTAGCATATTTAAACTCAAGACATTTATGGTCTGCAGTTTCACATTTTTCTGCTTTAGTCATTTGGAATTGCAGCTACAGCTTTCCTTATAATGTCAGCCATTTTGCTATACTTGCTACACAATGTATAAAGCTCTTTTCTCCCTGTCTATCTCTCCTCATATAAATATATGATAACTATTTTTGCAAGGGGAGCACGGGATGGCGCAGCGGTGAGAGCACTCGCCTCCCACCAATGTGGCCTGGGTTCAAATCCCAAAATATGTGGGTTGAGTTGTTGGTTCTCTCCTTTGCTCCGAGAGGTTTTTCTCTGGGTACTCCAGTTTTCCCCTCTCCCCAAAAACCAACATTTCCAAATTTCAATTCGACCAGGAATCAGGTAGATGAAGAACCACTTTGTGGATGTGCTACCTCCAAATCATTATTTATTTATTATTTTATTTATTAATTTAGTATTTATTTTGCTAGTGGTCACAACAATTATGGCAATCTAATGGTTATAAAATTGAATTTCAGATCTCAAGGTCTTGGTTCAAGCACTGCCAGCTAGTTAACACCTTAGATTGTTCCTTTTTGTCTCTCTCAGCTCCGCCTTAAGGTGCAACATACTGCTGGGGAGGAGGGGGGCGGGGTAATCCTGTTATGGATAGGGTTGTCATGGTTACTGTCTGCACTTGGCAGGCAACTGCTCGATCATACTGGGTCCCCAATGGGGTTCTTCAATCCGTCATCGTGACTCAAATTTTTGCTCAATCCCATAATCCTGATTGCTCTTTTCAGCATCCCACATGCCACGCATAGTTTCATAAGGAAAATCTTACCCCCATTTTTGCTTTAAAATCCAAACCTCACTTTCAAATAGGGCAAATCCAGGATCCCTAAAAGGCTACTGAGGACCCTATTCATACTGTAACTTACCTGAATAGTGTCCCATACTTGATATTCTAAGTAGTCTTTGCTGACACTCTCGGGGTAGCCTTGTGGAAGGAAAGCAGACTGCAAAAGATGCAATATGTCACCCCTGTATGGAATATAGGTCTAGCAGCGGGTAGCAAAATTCAGCTGAACTAGATCTGGTATAGGCTAAGGGATCTAGGGTCCCAACGACGCACCCTCACCCCCTAAATTCCTAAAGTATCCCCACCCGCCTGTCATGGTAAGTGAACCTGGATTTTCACCTATAATCCTTTCAACAACTCGGCTCTTTGGGCAACATGTGCACTCCAACTAACAGTCTTGAGAGAGAAAGATTCAACTAATTGGGTGAATGAGTACTCTCAAAATCAGAAGAGAAGGGGGGGTGGGGAAGTGGCCCTATTTCAAAGCTGGAAATTGGTACAGTGAGCACTGATGCATGCCAAGGAAAGTTACCTTAAAGAATTGCTTTACAGAAGTAGCTACAGTTTCCCTCTTCCTTCCTATCCTTTCTAAGTTTCCATTTTCCGTAGAGAACCTATATTTCCTCTCCAGATTTCCCGATCCATATTTTTCCCCTGCAACGACAAACTCCTCCATCTTGTCCGCCATCTTGCCACGGTGCAATGGGATAAACCGCTGCCAAAAATTGAGCTCGCTCCAGTCTCTTTTCATTTTTCAATATGGCGGATTGGGCACAGCCATGTATTGTAGATCGAAATTTTCGGTGAGAGTTCAAAGATTCTTTAAGAATTCTAATGTTTCGAGTGCTTTTTATCATAATGCGATGGATCTTAAAGAGGTTGTAACAAAGTTAAATATCTTCGCACCCTTAAAACTGGCAGAGAAATGGGACAACGTGGGGTTGCTGGTCGAACCTTCCCCTCCACATTCTGTCAAATCTATTCTTCTCACCAACGACCTTACCGAAAAAGTGGTTCAAGAGGCAGTCGATAAAAAAGTCAGCATGGTAATATCTTACCATCCACCTATTTTTGTCCCTTTGAAACGCCTCACATCTAAGACCTTTAAGGAGAGAATCATTATAAAAATGATCGAGAACAGGATCGCTGTGTTTTCTCCACACACAGCATTTGATGCTGTGAAGAATGGCGTGAACGACTGGCTCGCAGCAGGCCTTGGAAGTGCACAAATAGATCCACTAGAACATTCAAAAGACCAGAGTTCAGGTGTAAAATTAGAGGCAAGGATGTTGACCAATCATGTGCCTGATCAAATTACTAGTGTGCAAGACAAACTCAAAGACCTTCAAGGTGTTGAGAGAATTGAAGTTGAAACTTTGATGAGGTTAGTCAAAGTAGGGTAATGTGCAGGTGGGAGTTACTCCCTTGAATTTCCCATGGGAGTGTCCTGCTGGTTCTCTATTGCTGGTTTGCACATGACGTCATGGCGGCCATGTTGATGGTCTAGAACAAAAGTACTTCTCTTATCTGGGAACAAAACTCTACTTTTATGTACATCACTCAAGAAAAAATCTATTGTGTTGACCCTCAACATGGCCGCCTTCAGTTGTATCGTGGTTGCAAACCAAGAATACCTGGCAAAATGCCCAAATATTTTCCAACGATCTTTGAGCACTTCAAAAGTTATTTCAAAGGTGACAATTTTAGCATGTTGGATACAGTTACAACCCTCCAAGTTAAAATTTTTGTCCAGTGGCCATTTAGCGATCAGCTCTTTGGGTTTAGTCACCAGGGAAAATTTTTAGGTGCCAAATTATATTAATAAAGTAATATATCAAAATTGTCATTAACAAAAGCAGTTAAGCAAGTTTAACTTAAAATGCAGCACTGTCTATAAATTACTCATTTATTGTGCAAGACATTTTTTACTGATAGTCTGAGGATAAGGTTTGCAGATTCATCTCCTTGAATCAATACTGAAACAGAATTGTTAAGACAATTACCATTTCCAGTAGTCTTTAGGGCCTTCAATCCTTCTGTATAATCCTCAGTTGGTATATGAGAGCAGAACTTAACTCATCCTCTGTTAAATGTAATGTGTTCAAAATTTCCCAGTCATAACTTGAAAGGCGACCTATTTTTTTCTGATATTTGTTTCGCATTTCTTTTGAGAATTTTGTTGATGATGGACTTGTTTCCCCAACTAACAAATATTTTTGGAGATTTAAAAGATTGTTTTTAATATTGCTAGACACTGCGAAAGCCTGACAAAGGCAGGAGAGTATAGGAAGATCAACAAGTCTTATAAATCAAATCATTGCTTTATAGAGATAGCATCGTGCACTTGAAAATTTTGCAATGAGTTGTACTGGGAAAAAATGTATTTTCCAGTCCATTGAAAGGAACCCAAACAAAAATTTCCCTCTTATGAAAATATGATAATTTTTTTTTTCCTTTATCATTGCTACGGGTGTTTAACAAATAAAAATTTTGTAACAACTAGAAGCTGTCAGTTTTGCGATGTTTAGTTTCGCTTACAATTTTCGCTTTTGTTTAAAAAACTGCAATTCAACTCACAGCACGGTTCTCATGTTACGGTTATTACACAATGTTCTGTGTTGACTTTGCAGCAATTTAGCTTTCCCTCTTCATGTTAGTAGATTGTTTATTGATTCACAAAGTCTTTATAATATGTAGCCCGGTCAAAAAAACACCAAACTTGGCGAGACAAGCATTCCTAAAATATCAAAGAAATCGACACTGTCAACAAGCAAGGCACTTCGATTGCGTGCTATTTGTCACGTTTCAAAAGTTAAAATGTCACGCGCAAGGCAACAAATTCAGTGGAGGCAAACAAATGCAGGTCAAGTTTCATTGATGTTCATTTCAAAACGCTTATCTGTGAGACTTTTTTAGTTCTCAATTTAGCATGTTTTTCAACGGAAAAGTGTAAAAAAGCAATAGAAATCAAATCAGGTAGAATAAATTTTCTTCATATTTCAGTAGAAGTGATTACCATAATTTTCCTGTTTCTGTATGCCATAACATGAACCTATTCTTCACGGTCTCCAACTTGGTGACTATTCTCTAAATCAAGTCACCAGCTCCAAAATTCTAGACGCCATGGCTACTAAAATGGTTGCAACTTGGAGGATTGAGTTACGACACAAAGTCAACATTAAGCCTCTTTTTGTAATATTTTTGGGGAAATTGAATTGTAAAAGCTATGTCTTTTAAAAATCTGCAAAGATCGTCTTTCCATTTAAAGATCTTATCATTGCTTTTATAGACCACAAGGACTGACTGAGCAGCAATTATCTTTGCACTGTTCTGAGAGTGGGCTTGTTGACACCCTTCAGACACTGACATCTTTGCTCCCTGAAGCTCTTGGAAAAGTAGAGGTTGTTCCTCTTGCACAGGTGAAAATATTATGACTTTTGTAGTTCTTTGCAGTTATGATCTTTGAAGTTATGATCATTATCACGGTTGTCACTAAGATTTCAAGTTGCCGGGTAATTAAATACATCAATAGTGGGGAATCAAACAGCTAGGAGTTTCTTTTGGTTCTATTTTTCTTCTATTTTCCTTTGAAAGTAGCCGGGTGCCACTTTTATAGTAGCTGGGAGGAAATCCATGCCCCTTGCCTCTTAATGACAGTCTCTCCACCAATATTAACTTTATAGGTTAAGTTTACGTAATAGGTGCAACATCTCCTCACCATGGGTAAATACGGCAACATCTGAGTGCTAGGTTGCAATGATAATTATTATTAATTGCATTAAATTAATTCATTTAATGGATTTGACACCAAAGCTTAAACCTCCACTGTCCCAATGTATTCCACACTGGTCCAATATATTTTCACTGGCCCAATATATTCCCTGGCCATCTGAGTTATGAACCTTACCAACCAGCATTTCGTAAACTCACTAGAGCATCAACATCTCCTCTCTCTAGATTCCAATACTGGGTACTGGCCAAGGTCGCCTTTGCACCCTGCATTCACCAGTTACTCTCTCAGAGTTAATCAACCGTATCAAAAACCACCTTAATCTCAAACATATACGCTTAGCTGCTGCCCATAGTAACACATCAGAGGACCCACTCCAAAGTTCCGTCCAAACTATTGCCCTGTGCGCAGGTTCAGGAGCAAGCATACTGCGTGGGAAACAAGCTGATGTATACCTTACAGGTGAAATGTCACATCATGACATCCTTGATGCAGTGTCACGTGGTGTGCACGTGATCTTATGTGAACACAGCAATACAGAGCGTGGTTTTCTTACAGAATTTAGAGGCAAATTGGTTGAATTGTTAGAGGGAAAGGTTGATGTCATGGTTTCCTCAAATGATGCTGATCCTCTCCAAATTTTATAGAATATTCTCTTTTGAATTGAGTTAGAGCTTGAGGTACAATTTACTTGAACCAAGTTTCCTTCAAATGACTCCAAGAACCACAGGGAAATGCTTTGAAGAAGTTGCGTCAAGTTTCCAATTTTTATCAGAAAACATGTCACTGGCATATGGTACTACAGTCTACTATACCTAATCCATTTGAAATAATATTATCTATTACAACGTGGGAGTCATTGCTGGTGGCTGGTGAAAAAACCTACTCCATCTGGAGCACTCTGAGTCCAGTTTTATCATTTTAAAACACTTGACCTACCTGCAGAGCAACACAGAGATACATGTAATCACTTCGTTTTCTATAGTATCAAGAGAATGAACAGAACTCTTCTTATATGAAGGCTAAGGATCATCCAGCCTTTCAGGATAGGATAAGCTTAACCAAGGCTGGGACTGGTCAAAAGTTTATTAAAAGAGTAATAACGTGCATCTGGGCTGAGATTTCAGTATATAAAAATGGTTACACTACGTAACTGGTTACACTGGCCCCTTCTGGAATTTTGATAGTCTTTGTTTGTAGTTCTTAACAAATTCTTGTTTAAAAATAAACCAAATTTTCACTCTTTTCTTTTCTTTTGGGTTATAAACACATTTTTCAAATATTAGATAACAAAAACTTTTAATAGGCCAAATCTTGCTCGGATCTGAGAACATGAAAATTTGCCCGGGCAGGTACCTTAAGTCTTATTCAAGGCATAAAAAGAAAGCAGCGTAGCATATGAAAGGAAAAATAGCAAAAAATGGAGAGAAATATCAAAATGATAGTATTAATTCCTTGTTTCGTGCCAGTTAGAATCTAAAAGTAAGTTTGTAACTTTTCTGTTACATTGTAACAATAATTTGACTAGAATGCTTATGAAAAGGAGCATTTTAAACAACTTCCCTGTTTTGCTGGAAAAACGATGTAAGAGGCCGTCAAGTAATTTTTCTTACAGATTTGAAATCTGTCTACGAAATCACAACCATGTCTTACATACTCTTTAAGGGGGCTCTAAATCATTTTTTTTT